CATTGCTATAAACACTTTGGAGATTTGTAGATAGGTAAACTGAGTTTCAAAAGTGACTTGTTCAGAACTGTATACTAGTAAGTTGCTGAGCCAACTGCTAAACACAGGGACTTTATTCACATTTTTTGTTTTTTGAGACAGAGTTACTTTGTTGCCCAGACTGGAGTGCAGTGGCATGATCTCGGCTCACTGCAACCTCCGCCTCCTAGGTACAAGTGATTCTTCTGCCTCTGCCTCCCATGTATCTGGAATTATAGGTGCATGCCACCATGCCTGGCTAATTTTTGTATTTTTAGTAGAGACAGTGTTTCCCCATGTTGGCCAGGCTGGTCTTGAACTCCTGACTTCAGGTGATCTGCCCGCCTCGGTCTCCCAAAGTGTTGGGATTACAGGCATGAGCCACTGCATCCGGCTGACACTGGTTTGTCAATGGCATCAACAACAGGAAAAGTCAAGTGCCAGTAGGAGCTTGAGGACATGGAGAGAGGTACTGGACACAAGATAATCAGGAGATGTCACTTGATTACCACATTTGCAATTTCTTGAGCAAGTTTAAACATCATAAGAATGCAGATAACTTTTTTGAGTAAATTTCTCAAGCCATGTTGCATAAGTTGTGCTCCTGGGGCCAATCCTGGCTGATCCACACACATGGGGAATGCTTAACACTAAGCAGGAGAAAGCAATTGGATTTTGCACAGGTAGGTGACCAAAGGTGAATAAAGCAGTCCACTGGTGGCCTTGAACAATCAGAAACATGAGACTTGTCACATGATGACCCTCCTGTAGCACATTCAAACCCCTGCTGATCACAAGCCTCCTCCAGAATTCAAAATTACCCAATGGGAATCAGATACCATCTCCCATTGCTTTTCCTGCTTCTCTGGACCATACTGTTAGCTTTCTGTTCATCACCCCTATCCTAAGGTCCAGTTATGCAAGGCAGGGGTCATTTTGCAATTATTTAAAAGGCTCGTGGGTGAGAGGCAGTGGCTCCCTTTTCCTTTGTCATCAGCTTATCTAACATAAGATGGTTGATTCTGGCACAGTTCCTCCTCCTTTTTCTTTTTTCTGGGGAGTTTCCAAATTTATTGCTTATCAATGGACTCACCTTGGAAATTGAGCTGTAAAACACCACAATAGAGGATAGTCTTGGTTGCCAAATCTGTTCCCCTAACAGGGCAGTGTTGTATACTTCCAAAACTTTCTAGGTCTCCTCCAAATGACTCAAGGGATGGGAATTTCACCATCTCTCATGGGAGGTTGTTTTACAGCCTCTTACATCTTACCCATTATGAAAGTTCTTCTGATGAAACATTTTTTTTCCCCTTTGGTTCATTCATTACCCTTAGATAATCCCCTAAAGAGCACCTTCACAATCCCTCTCCTTCTTTGGGGCTTATGCCTTCAACTCTCTGCGCATGGCTATCAGGCCCCCATCCCACACACATGCACCTGCACTCCTTAGCTCTTCAGCCAGGCCTACCCACATGCAATTCTTTTCATCTTTCCTCATACATCAAAACCTCAAGTGAATTTGAAGGGGGATTATGGCTCTCTTCTCAAGATATTCTCACGTCTTTTCTCAAGATTTTCTCACGTCAGCTGCATCCCTTCTCCTCAACCACATACCAGGTTTGTGTACGCCAATAGTCATTCACCAATGGAAATGAGGTTTTTCTGGAACGCTGTGTTCTATAGTTAAAAAAAAAAAAAGATTCCTTCTACCCAGAGCTCATATCTAGATTGGATCAATATTTATACAAACTATAATAAGGAGGAAAAATCTAAAAGAAGTCTGGAACTACCTTAAATCTCCAACCCACCAAGAAACTTTTAAACTACAAATAAAAATCTCAAAATAATATATTTCCCTTAAACATAGGCTATGAATTAATAAAAGAAATTCAATCACCTTTTGGTAAAGGAAGCATGAAAGGATTGACTACTCATTTCTTTATGGATGAAAAATTAGCATGGATGAGTGCCCCAGATGAAAAAGAACCATTCCTTTTTTTCTTGTTTTGTTATTTCCTTCCCACTGACTTTGTCAGAAGCCACCTCCTTTTGTTCTTCAACCACTCTGAATAGCTGGTAGTTTCCATGCTCTCTGAAGGGATTCACATACACCACAGTCCTCGGTGGCAATAGGGACCACCAGGAGGGCCTCACCCTCGTTATGCAACCTCAGGCCTTCCTCCTCCTCTGTTTTCTCCCAAATGCACTGAGTGCCAGCCCTAGGGGCATCACAGACATCTTCAGAGCCCAAGACCCCACCTGTCATTCCTACGCTTAGAAGGAACCTCTCCTTTTCCAAACCTTCCCATCCAAACCCGATGCGGCTCTTCCTTCCCAAACCTTACCCATCCATCAAGATCTAGCTTCTGTTTCATTTCCTCCAGAGGAAGCTGCCTTTTCCTCTAAACTTCATAATGTTTAGTGTCTATACCATTAAAATACGCTACTTCGCATTATTCATGCCTCCATTTGCTGCTGCTGAATTTTTTTTTTTTTTTTTTTTTTTTTGAAACAAGCTCTTTCTCTGTCACCAAGGCTGGAGTGCAATGGCATGAACACGGCTCACTGCAGCCCTGACCAGGCTCAAGCAATCCTCGTGCCTCAGCCTCCCGTGTATCTGGGATCACGGACATGCATTACCATGCCCAGCTAATTTTTTGATTTTTTTGTACAGACAGGGCCTCACTTTATTGCCCAGGCTGGTCTTGAATTCCTTGCCTCACGCTCGGCCTCCCAAAGTGCTGGTGTGAGCCACTGTGCCTGGCCCATTTGCTCCATTTTTTAAAGTTTTATTTTATTTTTAATAGATAAATAATAATTCTATATACTTATGAGGTACAATGTGACATTTTGATACATATATACATTGTGGAGTGATCAAATCAGGTGAATTAGCATATTCACCACTTCAAATATTTATCATTTCTTTGTAGTAAGAACATTTTAAATCCTCTTTTTTAGCTATTTTGAAGCACACAGTACATGATTAACTGTAGTCACCACACTGTGCAACAGAATACCAGAACGTATTCCTCTTGCCTGACTGGAAGCTTTTATCCATCGACCACTCTCTTCCCCTCTCACCCACCCTTCACCCCTAGGCTCTGGTTAACCACTGTTCCACTCTCTACTTCTATGAGTTCAATTTTTTTAGATTCCACATATAAGTGAGAGCATAGGGCATCTCTCTCATTATGCCTGGCTTATTTCACTTAACATAATGTTCTCTAGGTTTATCTATGTTGTTGTAAATGACAGAATTTTCTGTGTTTTTTTTCAAGGCTGAGCATATTATATTGTGCATATATACCACATCTTTTAAATCCATTCATCTGTTGATAGATACTTAGATAGTTTCCGTATCTTGGCTAGTGGCTATTGTTAATAATCCTGCAATGGACATGGAAAAGGAGACATCTATTCAACACACTGATTTCAATTCCTTTGAGATTCCTGGAGCATATGGTAATTTTATTTTTAGTTTTTTTGAGGAACCTCCATACTGTTTTCCAAGATGTCTGTACTAATTTACACTATAGCCAAGCGTACAAGGGGCCCCTTTCCTCCACAGCCTCACCAACGCTTGTTATCTTTCTTTTATCTTGAGACAGGGTCTTGCTCTGTTGCCCAGGCTGGAGTGCAGTGGTGTGGTTTCAGCTCACTGCAGCCTCAATGCCTCAGCTTCCCCAGCTCAAGTGGTTCTACCACCCCAGCCACCTGAGTAGCTGGGACTACATGCACACACCCCATGCCTGGCTAATTTTTTAAATTTTTTATTTATTTATTTATTTATTTATTTATTTATTTATTTTTGTAGAGGCGGTGTTTCACCATGTTGCCCAGGCTGATCTTGAACTCCTAAGCTCAAGTGATCCTCCCGCCCTGGCCCCCCAGAGTGCTGGGATTACAGGTGTGGGCAACCACACCCAGCCAAGATCTCTTTATAGGGACACTCAAGACTGATTATTTTGACAAGGCTGATGTTTTACTGAATGCGAAGGTGAGCTTCAGGCCCGTGAGTAGCCCTAGGTGGGGAGCCAGGAGCTGGGAGAGGAAAGTCTCTCCTCTAGCCTCAAGGAGGAGAAACTGCAGGGTGACCACCACCACCTGTGGGACCAGCCCCATTCTGGGGCATCATGCATGCCTATGGGGGAGCTGGGGCAGGTGATCGGACGCTGGAGCAGGGCATAGGCAGGAATGTGCTTGGGGGCCCATGCCACAGTTTTAATTCAGAGACCTGCGGTTATAAAGAAAGCAGATCAATCCTGATATCAGGCGTAGTTCCATTTTGTGCTCAAGCTCACAATTCTAGGCCCAGGACTAAGCAGAGCCATGGGAAAATGTTCCTAGCTCAGCTGGGTCCATATATCCACTCCCCTTTAGTCCCGCATCATACTGTCCTTGTCCTTTGTTCTCTGATCCAGCCTCCCAACCAGGTTATACCCTTTTTCCCATACTGAGCCCCACACCCTTAAGGAACCCCCTCTCTTTGTGTATCTCACCCGTAAGCCATGGAAAGGCAAGCCTCAGAACAAGGAATATAGACAACCTAGGACTCTGCAGTCCTCTCCTCTGCCCCCTCAGCGCCCTGAAGTATGTGACACTGGGGTTCCTCCTGCCACTGTCCTTCCCCCGCAGCTGAGAGGGTGAAGTGAGGGAGGGGAGCCGCCTGTCTCTACTCCACCAGGGGACAGCTCAAGGTGAGACAGGACGGGAGCCTCAGACCCATTGGCTGAGCCTGGGAGGTGGGCAAAGCCTGGGAGGGGGGCAGCGCTCTTCAGCCTTCCTCCCTGGCCTCGGTCCCCACCCCAATCCATGTTGGCCCTTTCAGGAGCTTTTAGTGGGAATGAGCTCAGACCCACAGCACAGGCCCCGGCTCCCCTCCCGTCTCAGCTCCTCCCATTGCTCTTTGATCATCTCTTCTGTCTGACCTCTGAGCCGTCTCTCCACCAGGCACATCTGCAAGCAGCCCCCTTCATCCCCAGCATCACCTCTTCCTCCCGTTTCTCCTTCCACTCCCAGTTCCACATCCTCCTCCTATTCCCCTCTCTTCCCTTTTCAGACCCCCACCTTCCAGTTCCCTCACCTCCCCTTTCTGCTGGTCCCTGGGGCTTGCAGCAAGAGGGAGAGACAGCTCCTGACAGGATTGATGGTCCTTCCCCACCCTGTCCTCTCACCCGCTCCCTCCCCAGCGGGCACAGACATCCCCCTACAAAAGGCAGGAGCCCAGGCTGTGTGGAAACAGCTGCTCTCAGACGCCCTTCCCTTTGCTCTCTGCTGGCTAGGCTGGGCTGCGCCTCTGCTCCCTCTTCCTCCAGCTGAGAGTGGGCACCTGGGGTACCAGGCCCCCTTACCTCATTTCCCATGAATGCTGTGGAAATTCCTGAGGGGCAGGAGCTGCAAAAGCTGGGGAGTGGAGCCTGGGACAATCCCGCCTACAGTGGTCCCCCTTCCCCACATGGGACGCTGAGGGTCTGCACCATCGCCAGCTCAGGGCCCCTCCAGCCCCAACCCAAGAAGCCTGAAGATGAACCCCAGGAGACGGCACACAGGACTCAGGTGTCCAGCTGCTGCCTCCATATCTGTCGAGGCATCAGAGGTACTGGATAGAGGGAGGGTTCTCCTGGGATATTAGAGTCAGGAGAAGGAGTCGTAAAAGCTTTTGGGCAGGGGGTGGGGGTGGAATGTGATCTGAAGAAGAGGTGACCTTTCAGTGTCACTTTGGGGTGTGTGAATTGCTTGTGGCAGTGCTGCACGCCCCAGAACACAGAGACCAGCTAAGCGGTCTACCGGTTGTGGGGAGTCTGGCATGGTCATCACCTGGGGACCCAGAGGAGTATGTGGGAGCTGGTTTGAGGGAGGATGTGGATGTGAGGATGCCCTGGACTACCCCACCTGAAACAGGTGCCTCCTTTCCATGCCTTCATTCTCTATGAGCCAGGGCCTTCACCTCTGTCGACCTCAGGGAGTTGATGGGAAGGGCAAGCATGGGTGTGGGTAGAGTAGCCAGATTCAGCCAAGGATGAAGGTGATGGGCAAGGAAGGGCAGGGGTGGAAAGGGGCTAAAGTCCATGGACAGATGGGTGGGGATGACTGGGAGGAACACTGCCACTGAGGATCCCAGGCATCTCTCCCATGCCCCTTAGGACTTTGGGGAACAACCCTGACTGAGAACACAGCTGAGAACCGGGAACTTTATGTCAAGACCACCCTGCGAGAGCTGCTGGTATATATTGTGTTCCTGGTGGACATCTGTCTATGTGAGTAGCATCTGTGTTTGTGTACCTCTGTCTGTGAGAAACATCTATGTGTGCTCCATCTGTATAAACATTCCTGTGGGTAACACCTGTGGAGCCAGCATCTATCTGTGCAAGCAGGCTATATCCGGGAACTTTAGATAACAGTATTCCAATCCCATCTATTTACCTTTGCAGCTTAAGATATTTTGTTTAAAAGGAATATATCAGAAGAGGAAGGCAGTTTGGTCAATAATTACAAGGGGAAACCAGTTTTTAAGTTCACTTTGCGGCCATTGTTTTCTATTGGCTGAAAAGGTGAAAGGTGAAAATTTTTTACCCTTCTGTAGAGAGTGGGCTGGCACGGTGGCTCACGCTTGTAACCCCAGCACTTTGGGAGGGCGAGGTGGGCACATCACCTGAGGTCAGGAGTTTGAGACCAGCTTGGCCAACATGGTGAAACCCTCTCTCTATTAAAAATACAAAAATTAGCTGGGTGGCAGGTGCCTGTAATCCCAGTTACGCAGGAGACTGAGGCAGGAGAATCGCTTGAACCCGGGAGGCAGAGGTTGCAGTGAGCCAAGATCGCGCCACTACACTACACTCCAGCCTGGGGGACAGAGCGAGATTCTGTCTCAAAAAAAAAAAAAAAAAAAAAAGAGTGGAAAACCACTCCCTTCTGTTTGGAAAAATAGTTTGGTGGGCTTCACATAGTTATTATACTATATCTGATTCATGTTTCTTTAGAGGCAGTAAAAGAATGGAAGAAAAAAGAGAGGAAGTAAAAGATTCAGGTGACCTTAGATCTCAGATCCCTGCTAAGAGAGGGAGGGACACACATGGAGTGGTGATGGTCCCATGTGAGAGACCACCATGCCACGGAGGAAGCTTATTGAGGCTCTAGCTATAGACACAAACTGAGAAGGTTTGATCTCTAAGTTGAGAGAAGCAAGTGAAAAGATAGGAGGGCGACTATGGAAAGATAGCATCAAAGAACTGTAAATAATAATACAACTGGACCAAACAGATGCTGTTAGACCTGTAGGTAATGACAGCACATTGTATTTGGTTTATTACTTCTTTCAAAAATTGCACAAGTGATGTTTGCCTAGTTTAATATAGTTGTGTGTGGAGTTGTGGTTTGATTAAAGCTGTAGGTTGAACCATACAACTAAGGTGCCCTCATTATTAGGTGTTCTAGGCTCCACAATACTCTGTTCTTGTCAGGGTGCACAAATCTTTTGAAAGTGGAGTCAGAGAGTCTCATAACATCAATGTTGATGGAACGTTTTCTTGTTTTTTGAGCCACCCACATTTGTGCGAGCCCTCTGGGAAAGCTGGCAGAAAGCACTGGTTCTGGCTGTGCTCTATTGGAACTCACTCCATGCTGGACAGAGGGGACAGTCCTCTGTGTTTGCCACTGGCCACTCAGCAGGGAGTGAAAGGACACAGTGCACATGAGGAACAACGGCTAGCCCAATGTACATTTTGTGGAGCCCTTTCAATTCCTTTCAGCAAATGGCTGTCAGAAATTCATTTGTTGACGTATTGATTTTTTTGTCCTAACCATCTGCTAGCAAGGAGAAGTCATCTCCTTTTTCAGATCCCATGACAGCAGCTGAAACCCACAGGCAGAGCCTTTCTCTAAAATGACTTAAACATCTCTCTTTCCAGATTAGCCTCTGGAACAGGACTGTTTCTAGCTCCCCAGAGTTACAGTGAACCATTTCTAACTCCATTGTATGGAGCTGGAAAGAGTGGAAGCTTGGGTTCTGGAAGTCCAGGAGTCCAATCCACTCATGTTCTCTGCTTTCTGAGATCTCAGTGCACTGATGCATTGCCAGATGGTCTGTGACTTGCCAAAATCTGAGTTATAGACTTAGTCCAATAATTACAGAATCCTTGAGTGGACGCGGGCTTTAGAGGTCATCTAATTTTAGGATGCAGAATACGTGGAATCCTTTCTCTGTGGTCCTTTCCATGGCGCTCTGTCAGGCGGCCAACCAGCCCAACCGGGGGAGTGTCAATGGGGCTGTCACTGTTTCATGAGGCAACCCATTCTACTACTGGGCAGCTCCGTTTCCTTCCTCTTATGGAGCCCCCTCTTCTGAGCCAGATGTTGGACTGAGAAACATATAGATGACAGATACTTGGGCCTTTCCCCTCAGTGGCTCACTTCCTTTTTAGAACTTTCTTCTATTAAGCTAACTACTGATGTGTCCCTTACTCTCTGAAGTGACAACCTTTCAACTGTTTGAGTGAATATAGCTTGCCCTGGGTCATCTGTTCTCTAGGTTAGATAACTTCTATTTTGTCACTAATCTAGTCATGATACTGTGGTTTTCAGAGGTAGTATTATGCAGGGATTAAAGGCATGGGCTCTGAATTTGCACAGGTTTGGTCAAATATCATGCACTGCCATTCACCATTTGAGGGCCCTCGAGCAATTTGCTTAACTTCTTTGAATTTCAGTTTCCTCATCTGTACTTACCCAATCCAATAGGATTATGTGAGATAATAGCCATGAAATCATTAACTCAGTGCCTGGTATGTATTAAAAGCAATTTCAGAACGCTCTCCATACTGGTTGCCTGCCTGCAGACTTCATCTATGTGATGCCTGGCACTGGACAAAATATGCCACGGACAATCTGACCAGCACAGAGTACTGCGATGCCATTATTTCTGTTGTACCCAGATTTGGGGGATCTGTGAGGAAATGCAGAAGAAGTGATATCTGAGCTAAAACCTGAGAGATATGGAGGATTTATCCCCTTGAAAGGGAGGTGAATAGAAAGGAATTCCCTGGGAAGAGGGGACAGCATGTGCCAAGGCCCAAAAGGGACAGAGGGCACAGTTTAGTTAAAGTGCATCAACGTGGCTGGAGCAGAGAGTTTGATAAGCAAAATGGTAAAAGACAACAAGGCTGGCCTTATAAGAAGGGGCTGATCATGAGGGGCGTTATAAGGCATGATAAAGAATTTGGACTTTATTCTGAGGGGTCCAGGGAGAGCTATTGAAGAGTTTTAAGCATAGGAGTGACATGACAAATTTTAAGTTCTCCTGAGGAGAGGACAGAAATATAAACGTTGGGTCACAGAAATATCTCTGGGTAAGTTGAGTAGGGGAGATAATAGTCCTGTGCTAAGGATATTAATGGGATTTTTAAAAACAAAAACCTTACAAGGGCCACTGAGTCAATCTGGTGGCAGTATAGCATGCTGGTTAAGCAGTGAGGCTCTGAAGTTGACTATGTGGGTTCAAGATCTGGTGCTTCCCCAATTATCAGCTGTGTGATCCTGAGCAAGTTTGCTAACCTCTCTTATCCTTGGATAATGATCAGACCTACCTGAGAAGATTATTATGCAGGTTAAATAAAATAGCTCACTAATATGCTTAGCACAGTGTCTGTCTGGCACGTGGTAAATAGTGCCTACTGTCTTCAAGTCACAGCAGGCACTGTAAAACTATAAATGTGGCATCATAAACCCAGCCAGCAGTGGAGGGTGAGGAAGGGAGAATTAATCTGATACCTTTAAATCTCAGAAAACCTCCAAGTCCTATGGAATTGGGCTCTAAATAAAGACCCTGAAATCGTTAGACTACCTGAAAATGTGCCGTTTAACTGCCTTGGGCCTTGAGAATTAAAGTCCACACTCGCAAAGTGCCGGCCCCACAAGAACTTTTTATGAAACAGAATTAGGAGGCCTTCACATTCTGATTATTCCTACAACATTTAGTAAGATAAAACTAATACTAGTTTCCTAGCCCCTGCCTCTACCTGCCTCTTCCTTTCAGACATATTTTCAGGCAACATGGAGCCTTGGAATGGCCTCAGGAGGGCCACTTCAGCGCTCTCCAAGGTCCTGCCCTTGCCTCCCTGGTGTCTCAACTCCCTGTTAACCTCCCTGAGCTCTGGCCAACTGCATCTAGACCATACGTTCTCAGTGGGGATGATGTAGCCCCCAAGTGTGTAAAAATAGTTTCTCCAAGGGCAAAAACAATCCTTTAGGTATTACAATGGCTTTTGGGCCTCCAAAGAGCCACGGTACATAAGAAAATGTAGAGTCTGTCTGTGGTATTGGAATTGGGAGTGATTAGGAAGAAAATGTCTAAAGAGACTTCTGGGGAGACGGATAATGTAAAAAAGGTAAAGAAACACTGAACCAGATCCACTTAATTTGGCTAGTCAGTATGCTGACTGAGCTCTCCTGCCTAAGGATTTGGAATACAAGTTATAAGACTGAAAGCTGGCACCAAGCGGGGTGGCTGTTGCGTTGCTCTATCAGGATGCTGTTTTCTAAGAATTGGAGTGGCATGCAGTTGGATATGCAGCTGTGCCAGTGTGCTTTTCCATGTCAGTTCCCGTGACTGGGTTTAAATGCTCCAGAACCCGTGTTTATTATTAGGTAAGCACTGTGGCATGATGAAAACATAAAAACATTGGAGTCAGACGCACTGGATTCAAATACTAGCTCCTCTACTTCCTGGCTTTGTGACCTTGAACACTTGTTCTACCAATAAGGATAATAACATTTGTCTTCTGGAGATAACATGCATAAAGAACCAAACACAATCACTGGTAATAGTTATCTTTGTATTATCTAGTGGAAATTCAAAACCCTCAGCTGGTCTTCTAGACTGGTCATTAAAAAAATACCTTTCAAGAGGCCAGGCGCGGTGGCTCAAGCCTGTAATCCCAGCACTTTGGGAGGCCGAGACGGGCGGATCACGAGATCAGGAGATCGAGACCATCCTGGCTAACACGGTGAAACCCCGTCTCTACCAAAAAAATACAAAAAATTAGCCGGGCGAGGTGGCGGGCGCCTGTAGTCCCAGCTACTCAGGAGGCTGAGGCAGGAGAATAGCCTAAACCTGGGAGGCGGAGCTTGTGATGAGCTGAGATCTGGCCACTGCACTCCAGCCTGGGCGACAGAGCGAGACTCCGTCTCAAAAAAAAAAAAAAAAAAAAATACCTTTCAAGAAAGAAGCCAATCTGAAAAGGCTACATACTGTGTGATTCCA